GAAGGGATAACATTTCACTGTAAGATGGAAGGAAAATCCTTCATCTGAACTAACTCAAGTTAATGAATGAGTTTTCTTCGAAAGGGGGTTCTCAGGCACGACAGTAGAAGCTGGAGAAGTCAAAAGGAGAGCAGCAGGACAGTGTATATTGCCTAGGCATGTGATTATGGTGTGAAGGCTCGTGATCTATACCATCTTGCTCTGTCTTCCCTGCTAGGCTTCTCACATCACCCAGCAATGAGATTAGTGGAAAGAGAGAAGTGTGCTTGCTTAGTACACTTTTCTTAGCATGCTGAGAAGTAGGATGAGACAGAAAATAGGGGTGTTTTTGTTCAGTTGTGCAGGTTACGGGGATGATTTACATTGCAGTAGAGAATGCCTGGGGTTGTTTTCCTTCAAGTGTGCCAGGAGGTGGGACAAGACTTACTGTTGGTTTCATATGTACTGTCAAAGCAACTGCCTACATACAGCTGCACGCATTCAGCTTCTTGTGAAAGACTGCTACAGACAACACTGAAGGAAAAACTGTTCTTGCAAGCAATGTTCTGCCTGCCCAAAACAAACAACCAGCAACAGTGGTTTATGTAGTAACTTGGAGGAAGACGTCTGGGGATTTTCATCCTTTAAGGCAGGGATCTAGGAAGAGAACCCAAAGAGAGGAAAAAGGATGCAGTTGCAAAACAAAAATAAAAAAGACACACTGGTACAGAAGAATCAGTTGAGAAATGAATCTCCCATAAAGGAAAAGGATGTGAAAAAGCAAGCAGATGATGGAACAGCAAAAAAGATTAGGAAAGCCAGTTGCAAAAGAGGAGAGGAAGCTGTGATTGAGATAGCAAAGAGGTGGAGCCTAAGACAGAGCAATGAAGCCATACATGAGACTGACATAAACCAGGAAACAAAGCAACCTCCAGGTGTAGGAGAGAACAGATGGGAGCAAATACGAGATTCACCTCTTTACCAGAGATTCATCCTCTGACTCAAGCAGATAAGTGAACGTAGTGTTGGGTCAAAACCAAGAGAATGAGATACAGACCAAAAGCTGAAAACTATCAGAGTAAGCATTATAGGAGGGGCTACCAGAAGCAGATGGATAGGGAACAAACTTTGTCTATAAATATCATAGAATCATAGAACTATAGAATAGTTAGGGTTGGAAAGGAACTTAAGATCATCAAGTTCCAACCCCCCTGCCATGGGCAGGGACACCTCACACTAAACCATGGCACCCGAGGCTCTGTCCAACCTGGCCTTGAACACTGCCAGGGATGGAGCACTCACAACCTCCTTGGCCAACCCATTCCAGTGCCTCGCCACCCTAACAGGAAAGAATTTCCTCCTTATATCCAATCTAAACTTCCCCTGTTTAAGTTTTAACCCATTACCCCTTGTCATATCACTACACTCCCTAATGAAGAGTCCCTCCCCAGCATCCCTATAAGCCCCCTTCAGATACTGGAAGGCTGCTACGAGGTCTCCACACAGCCTTACCTTCTCCAGGCTGCACAGCCCCAACTTTCTCAGCCTGTCTTCACACAGGAGATGCTCCAGTCCCCTGATCATCCTCATGGCCCTCCTCTGGACTAGTTCCAACAGTTCCATGTCCTTTTTATGTTGAGGACACCAGAACTGTACACAATACTCCAAGTGAGATCTCACGAGAGCAGAGTAAAGGGGCAGGATCACCTCCTTCGACCTGCTGGTCACGCTCCTTTTGATGCAGCCCAGGATATGGTTGGCTTTCTGGGCTGCAAGTGCACACTGAAGCCAGCTCATGCTCATTTTTTCATCGACCAGCACCCCCAAGTCCTTCTCTGCAGGGCTGCTCTGAATCTCTTCTCTGCCCAACCTGTAGCTGTGCCTGGGATTGCTCCGACCCAGGTGTAGGACCTTGTACTTGGCATGGTTAAACTTCGTGAGGTTGGCATCAGCCCACCTCACAAGCGTGTCAAGGTCCCTCTGGATGGCATTCCTTCCCTCCAGCGTATCAACCGAACCACACAGCTTGGAGTCATCAGCAAACTTGCTGAGGGCACACTCAATCCCACTGTCCATGTCAGCAACGAAGATGTTGAACAAGTCCGGTCCCAACACCGATCCCTGAGGGACTCCACTCATTACTGGTCTCCAGCTGGACACTGAGCCACTGACCACAACTCTTTGCATGCAGCCATCCAGCCAGTTCTTTATCCACCAAGTGGTCCATTCATCAAATTGATGTCTCTCCAGTTTAGAGACAAGGATGTTGTGTGGGACAGTGTCGAGTGCTTTACACAAATCCAGGTAGATGACATCAACTGCTCTACCCCTGTCCATCAGTTCTGTAGCCCTATCACAGAAGGCCACCAAATTGGTCAGCCATGCTGGCTGTCACCAAGCACCTTGTTGTTTTTCATGTGCCTTAGCATGCCTTCCAGGAGAATCTGCTCCAAGACTTTGCCAGGCACAGAGGTGAGAGTGACTGGTCTGTGATTCCTTGGGTCATCCATTTTCCCCTTCTTGAAAATGGGGGTTATATTTCCCTTTTTCCAGTCGTCGGGAACTTCACCTGACTGCCATGATTTTTCAAATATGATGGACAGTGGCTTAGCAACTTCATTCACCAACTCCTTCAGGACCCACGGATGGATTTCATCAGGTCCCATAGACTTACGTACATTCAGGTTTTTAAGATGGTCTTGAACCAGATCCTCTTCTACAGTGGGCCTAAGGTCTCCATTCTCACAGTCCCTGCATCTGCCTTCCAAGACTTGGGTGGTGTGGTCAGAGCGTTTGCTAGTGAAGACAGAGGCAAAGAAGTCATTAAGAACCTCAGCCTTCTCCAAATCCAGGGTAGCCAGCTTTCCTGATAGCTTCCAAGGAGGGCCTACGTTGTCCATAGTCTGTCTTTTATTTGCAATGTATCTTGGATGAACACCTTGGAGATGATATTTTAATTGAATGAACTGAATTAACTGATATTTGAATTGAATGAATTGAATGTCAATGTTGGTACAGGAAAAGATGTGCATATATTAGTTGTTAATAATCTTGAATTGTAATTAGAAAGTTCCTAACAATTGGATCAGGCTACATACTATCCTATTAGGAGCAGAGCATGTAGTCACATCCTAGATTATCTCCAGGTGGAGCTTGATAAATTTGGGGATGTAATTATATACGAGATTGATATCCATTATAAGAGAGATCAGACTGGATGTTGCAGGAGGACCTTACTAGTCCCTGCCCTAATCTTATTTTCTTAATAATGATGCTGTTGACTCATACTTATTGACCATGACAGGTGCAGACAGACACGTATTTGCCTCACTTTCCAAGCCAACTAAATGCCACCCACATCTGGAATCTGTGCAGCTAAAGTGGCCCAGGGGTGTACCCAAGTTGTTTAATCTGTGCAAATATATAACTTTCAGATCTGAACTGGCTTACTTTTGCCTAAGTTGAAGTGTGGGCGAGGGAGTCCACACCTATCCATACACCCTCAGAGGGCTGTGCTGGGTGCTTATGTTCAGTGCCTCAGAAAAGTGTGAAAACTACTTAGATTAGACTGTACAAGCTGATATATCAGGGCTGAAGTGACTTGAGATCCCAGAAGAAACATAGTAGCAACATCTAGTAATCCAGGGTACCACACTGGCATGCTCAGGAGTGCATGCAACATCTTTCTGGTCGTGTCTGTATGACAGTGTGGTGTTTGATTTACTGGTGAGATCTGATTCACCAGCGCTGTGTACGACATGTCACCAGTAATGATGACTTACATCTTTGATTGCTCTCCCAATTGTGCTGAGTTCCTAGACAACACTATGCAGTGGAGGTGATGCCGCTGATCCTCCTAGTTAAGAGCATCCCTTCCTTGTCTGTCATGCTCCCAGAAGTTACGTGGCTCCTCAACAAATGTACGACCCACTGCTCACGCTGCAGTGGCCACAGCTATCTACTGCAACAAGTCATGCTCCAGTACACTGACTGACATTTGGATATTTGGAAACAAATGTTTGTATATATTAGGCATATGACAGATTATTTTTAATTGATAATAAGATCTGGTGGGGATAGATCGTTAGACCCTTCGCTGCGTGGTCATCTCCATAAAAAGACCTTTATTTTGCAAATTCCTCTTCTGACATCCTGACTACTGTCACAACCACACTAAAATTCCATTCTACACTCCTAGTAAACATCTATGACTTATGTGAGTGTGCATGGCTTGCGCTGTTTCTCTTGTGACTGAAATGGGACCATTCTCACGCTACTTGAAACTTTGTATTCTTGGCTCCTGAGACTGCCTGCTAGAGATAGCTGTGGCTATGTCTTCCTTTGATGAAGGAGTTCTTATCTTAGGTGAGATGTGGAGTGCGTCATCTTGCAACATTTCTGCTACCCCCCCCTCCCCAGGCAGAGAGACAGCAAGCCCACAGGAAGAACGACAACTTGTACTTTCAAAATCACAACCTCACCTAGGACAACAACTGATAACAAGCCCAAGCAAAACCGAACTACTGACTCACCCTCCTTCTCCTGACCCACTCGAAAAGACTGAGGATATCTGTACAATTAGCAACACCGGCTTCAATGAGATCCTTTTTTTTTTGTCATAGTGCTTTCATCCAAACCTAAGGCAGGTGTCTAAGAGAGGGGAGGCTTTTCTCCCTCAGAGCATGCTCATGTCTGTTCTGTACAGAGAGAACGACTTACTTTCAAGGTAGATCCCTCCATAGTAAATGGCATGTTGTTTTTGCCATAGGATTGCTGCCTTAGTGCTTCTTCAGTATCTTCTCTTTTTATTCTTTCCCTGTAATGTGTAGGCTTCCACATTATTTTACTGTGTGATATTGAGTATAGCAGAGAACACAGAAATACTCATTTTCAGTGGGATTTTCTTAGGTACTCAGGTATAGTATTTGTTAGCTCTTTAAAAACACTGGTTAATATCTTCAAAGATGTGTCACAAAACAAATATCACAATAACATTGTGATTTCTTTTGACAATGAAGGAATGAAAAGCAGCAAGACTAGAGCCACTGAAAGCTTTCCTGCACTTTGGATGTGTACAGACTGACTCTTCGGTGCTTGCAGCACTATGCATCATTTTGGAAGTGTGAAACACAGCTTGTTGTAACCTGGACTGCAGATGTGAGTTCTACAAACCATGCTTCCCCCAGCGCCGTGTTGGCCATGGTGAAAACAGAAAGCTTGTATTCCAGTTAACACTGTTAGTAGCAGATTTATTCTGAGACACATACCACTCTGGAATGCCTGAAGTAATGCCTCTTGACTTTACGTGGCTGCCCCACACTGAGTCTTAGCAGACAGCAGCCTCCTCCATTGCACAGTCATAACAAAACCCCACAGCAGAGGCAATTGTTTGCTCCATGTAAGGTAGGGAGTCCTGAGAGGAAACCACAGGAGTTTGTAATCAGATCATTAAAAGAGCTTATGATAATATTCAAAAGGAGGCTAGAGCAAGGTCTCACAAGCAAAATAAATTTACGTTTTCATTCTTGATTTTGCAAATGCAAGTTTCTTCTGACAACTTAAAAATGCTGTCATACAGCAGTCACCAGCTGGGAAAGGAGAGGTGCCTCTGAGTGAAAGCTCTGTCTGGGTTATCAGCAGTGCTAGGTAATTTATTTGGCAGGTCTCCATCAGCTAAGCTTCCATTCTGTGGTGGCAATACTGTCATCTTCTGGGCACTAGGAGGCGTGGATGCACATGATTTGCTGGTGGATTTACAGCAGGAGAAAAAGTGGTTTACATTCCAGAAGCAAAAGTAATAATTCCTTGAGTGGTGACAAACCTTTCTCTCCTCATTGTTTTTTAATCGTTTGTTTGATTGTTCTGTGGGTAGAAGGGAAAGAGAGAATTTTCCCTTACCTTCCCCTTGCATTCTGTTAATTTCTCTCTGCCTCTCCATTCCTATGTGTTATTCCCCTCCACTTCTAAAGGCTGTCTTGTTCTGTACCTTTCCTTCTTCCAGAGAGAGCTCCTGCTTTTGCTACTAACCTCTGCTCATGATCCCTCACTTCTCCTGTTTCTGCCTGCCTCTTGTGTCTTCACAGCATCCACCTTCATATGCAGCAGCCTAGTTATATTAGGTACAGATTCTTACTCTGTCCTCAGCAAAGCAATGGTATGTCAACCCGTTTAAACAGTATATCAAGCAAATTACTGCTAATATTTATGCTTGCTTTGTGATGTCTATGAGGTAATGTTTGATTACATAGAGCTTTAACTCAAGGTGGTTGTTTTTCTTTAACTGCATAAGTACTAAAGATATGTTTTGTTAAAGGCCTGTTGAAGGACAGAATTTTGCATTCAGAGCACAGTGAGGTGAAGTCCATGAGTGAGAGTTCCCCTTGAAACCTAGTATTTGCCTTTGTGGTAGAAGATAACACCATCTTGAAAACTCAAGATGCTGACCAGGATCTTCACTGTGGAGCACTAGGCATTCTTTCCAAACAGCTGGTTGCATAGACACAGAGTAGTCAGCAGATAAAGCATTGTCTTCCAGGTGAGCCAAGCCATGGGAACTTGTTGGCATTGTGCCTTCCAATTCAAAGTTGAATTGAAGCCATTGTATATCTTGGAGATAAAGCCAAAGACCTTGAAGCAGATTTTGATAAGTAAAGCTTTGAGCATAGACTGATGTGCTCTCAGTAGCTTGAAATTCAGGCTACTGAGTCACAAACCTCATCCTGGTTTCAGGTTGTTCATGAATCAGTGGGCAGGCCTTTGGCTTATGAAGGTAAGTTGGACGCTACACAGAAATTAGCTCTATTAATAAGATGCTTCTCTCCCCCTCTCCTGCTTTTTTTTTTTTTTTGACCTTCCTTTTTGCTCCTGTCTCTAACCACCCATGACAATTTCTCATTTTACGTGTTCTGTACTTTTTACTTCTGTCCAAAATTCCTCCCTGTTCCCACTGCACTGAGGGTGTTTCTTCCCCTCCCTGCTGTCTCCACACCAGCAGTGAGAGCACTGAGATCAGAGCATGGATCTTCCTCCCATTCTTACTGCAGAAGCTGCTGCATGCCAGCTGGGTCCTGCTTTTGCAACCCTGGCCTGTGCTCCACTGCCACTTGTACAAGTGGAGCATTTATAGTAGCCAGAAGTTGAAAGCTGTTGGGACTTGGGCAGTGTTTGAGAGAAACTCGTATGTCAACTACCATATGGTATTGTCAATACCAAAATAAAGGTTTTGGATGTATACTTCTTGGGTGAATCTTAGAACAGACAAAATGCAAACCTCTTGAACTAATGTTTCCATTAACACAAGCAGCTATGAAACACCTTTACCACTTACCACTTGATCTGTGTCAATACTATTGAACCATTTTAACACAAACTTACTGAAAACTGCTCGCTTGAAGCCTTTCCATGGAAAACATCAGTCCAAAAAGCGGCATTTCTGAAAGGTTTGGGTAGCTTGTAACACAAGAGGGTGAGTTATGTTTACTGTAGAGGTTGTTACTTCCATGATTACTGATACCCAGGGGCTCAGTTGTCTTTCTTGTCTTGTTTGGGGTTTGTTTTCTTCCTCTTGATTTTACAATTTATTCCTCAGTTACCAAAGGGGGGGTAGAGGGAGGGGGAGAAACATATAGTACTTGGTCAAAAGTGGTACGTAGTAAACTCTTTGTCTTATTTAAACTTCTTTTTTCCTTGGTCGACTTTCTTTTAAAGTCCTTTGAATATCCATCTCTATGTAAATATGTGTCGATGTGTGCATGTATATATATGTGAGTCTTTTTCTTACGATTTTAGCTTGACTTTCTAAGGAAGCATGGATTACACTATCATACCCTTTGTCCTCCTTTCTGTCTATCTGCCTGTCAGTCCCCGTTTGGTGAATTTGAGCCCCCTTGGCAAACAAAACTAGAGTGGACCCTCTACTGAAAAAAAAAAAACCATCAAAAATTAATTTTTCTTTCATGGAAACGTAGAGGAAACTTGGGAGAGGAATGGGACAGAGAAGAGATACAAATAGCTTCCCAAATGCTGCTAAAGTATAAGCTTAATGGTGTTTTTATCTTGATGGATAACCAGTGAGCACACACATAGCTTGGCACCAGCCCCAGCATGCGCTGCCTCTTTTCCAGCCAGCCAGATAGAAGACAGTGAGAGGTGATGCCACAACACACTTGGAGGTGGAGACATGGAACTCTTGCAGCAAGAGAGGGATGAACAGATTGTGCACATCTGTAGGAAACCATATTTCAGCATTTCTGCTGTCCAAGGAACATCTGACATCTGTTTGGAGGGAAATTAGGGTAATTATAGAAGGCTGCAGGGGGGGCTAAACGCAAAATGTCTTAAATATGTAGGAAACTGGGCTACATTAGTTGTGCTGCTTATGATGGTGAATAATGGGAGAGGGATTTAATGCCCACAGTTTACTGCAAGACTTAGGAAAGGAACCTGTAAGAAAGCAATTAGTAAGGGGGTGCTTCATCAAGCAATTACAGCCAATGACTAGAGTTTACAGTGGAACAGAAAAGGGTTTGGGATCAGGCAATAACACCCCACGTGAAGGAAGGATTTATACTGATCCTACCATTGATCAGCTTTTTATGTATGTATTCATCTTCAGCTGGTGATGTACTGATAATATTTATCACTACTCTTTTTTCCTGAAAGCAAAAACTTCTGTAAAACCAAGGCATATAGTACAGTTTTCAAAAGCTATGAAGATGCTCACTAGAAATAATACCAGGCACAACTGGAAAGTATGCTGGTGCCCCTAGACAGTCTTCAAATATGTTATACTAAAGGTTTTCAAAAGCACACAGAATCATAAAAGGCATAGATTACTCTGCTTTTAATTCTAAAATGTTACACAATTACTTCATCATACAAAAAAATATTTATGGCTTACAAAGATGAATCAATGATTTGTCTGAAATGTGTTTAGCTCATAAAATCCTCTCATCTCTTCAAAAATAGGTATTTGAGAGCACAGTTGTCATTTGTTTTCAAAGTCATTCTGGCTTGATATACAGAGTTTCTAGAAGTAATATATTTAGGGTGGCCTCTCCTAGGATGGGCCTGAAGAAGAGCTCTTCAATAGCATCTGCATCAATGTCTTGAAGAGAGGCTATTAGCTGAAGAATCCAAGCAAACCTGCTTAGGTTTCTGTGGAACATTGTTGAGATAAACTCCATCAAGACTTGCTGAGCTTCCTGCTGCAGTGTTTGTACATACAGGAGACATTTTAGGGCATGGCATCCTGTCAAAACAAAAATCAAAATAATGAATCTTGAGTGAACACTTTAATTCTGGGTCCTTTGTAATGATGGATTTCTGGCTTTCTAGGTTGTAGAACTACTTTCTCTAAAAAACAATAAAAACTTTCTAAACATACTTTTTGGTATGCATAGTTCTGTCATGTGAAGGAGGATGGTGCAGCATTGTAAACACATTGGAATCCAGCCCATTACATTACATCCAGAAATGGTAACAGGAGGTAACTGACTCGGTAGAGATGGAGAAGCAGCTTTATAGTGTTGTCCACCCACCAGCTGATGCTGATACTGCAGTCTGAGTACGTGGAAACCTGCCAGTTCTAATCTAAATTAGGCAGGCAACATCAGGAAGATAGAGGTGGTGCTTTGAAGCAGCAAGCAGGCTGGCAGTCTGAAGATACAAGTTTACAGCTTACCCAGCCCTGTCTCCTTCCTCTGCTTGCTAGACTAAGCTGGGGCACTATGATTCACCATACTACCTAGATATCTTTATTTACAGTCTAAAAAGAGCATAAAGGTTCTCTGTGAGATGTATCATGACCCACAGGAGCAGGACAGATAATTGTATTTCCTGTTCTTGCACTCCCATTCCTCAGTCATTTCTGAAGTGGAAGAGGTCTCTGCGCTATGAACAAGTGGCCTTGAGCCTCAGTCACTTACCTTCCATAGCATGTGACTTCAAACCTTCTGGATTACTGAGGGTCTTTGTGGTTGCCAGGGGTCAGTTAAAAGGACACCCCTTGTTTATCCTCTGCTTCTGGTGGTATCACCTTGTCATGTAGCTCTCAGAAACTTCTTCCCTCCTGTCTCCACCGCCTTAGGCTAGCACCGTCTTTTGTTTCCTAGAATTGCTGCAGCCTGGACAGGAGCCGCATGAATCCACAAATTTTGACTCCTGCCTCTCCAACCTCTGATGTTTTCTTTAACCTGTCCTCCAACATACACTCCAGGCCCATTTAGCATCTTTTACAGTGACTGATCCCATACCTCCCTGCTATGGGTCTGAATAGCTTAGACAGGAATGTCTCAGGATCATTTGTTTAAGTGTGGGAGGTTCTGCCTTCTTGCCTAGTGCCCTGTAGCAGGGCAAAATGAAGCTGGCTGGGGTTTTTTGTCTGTAGCTGACTGCCCTTTTTCAGTGTTTAACAGCTCTCTTCTCCCTAGACATCACTGCCAGAGAAGAACCCTCAGCAAGGCCTGCAACCAGGCTAGCCAGAAATAAAGGGTTTGGAAAAGTCATCTTCTCCTGCATGATTACCAACAGCTGCAAGCTGTGAAATGGTTCCAAGTGTTAGATTTTTCATGGAAAGGAAGTTGTCAGGATTTTGTACATTCAGGATGAAATTGCAGTTGCTTATATCCATTCAAATTTGCTTAATTTCCCCCTTTGTTCCTTTTTTTCAAATCAAACACCAAATTTCATTTCAAATAATGAAAAACTTACTGTTCTGAGATGTGTTGTAATAATATTCAGTCAAACACATTTCCGGTTCAACTGTAAACCTCTTAAGAGCACCTTTTTTAACAGAAGTCCTGTTGCAGTCTTGATGGAGATAAAGATATATATATAACACTCCATGCACATACATATATGGCAATGATACAATAATAGCACTATTTGTTGTGATTCCAATCTGTTCACTTGTGTAGTTCCTATTTTCAGACAAGTGTCAAAAGCAGCAATAGCACTTTCACCTCCCTCTGTGCTGTTCATGAATGGTGGGACACTTACTCATAGAACCATAGAATAGTTAGGGTTGGAAAGGACCTTAAGATCATCAAGTTCCAACCCCCCTGCCATGGGCAGGGATACCCTGCTCTAAACCATATTACCCAAGGCCTCGACCAACCTAGCCTTGAACACTGCCAGGGATGAAGCATTCACAACCTCCTTGGGCAACCTATTCCAATGCCTCACCACCCTAACAGGAAAGAATTTCCTCCTTATATCCAGTCTAAACTTCCCCTGTTTAAGTTTTAACCATTACCCCTTGTCCTGTCACTACAGTCCCTAATGAAGAGTTCATCCCCAGCATCCCTATAGGCCCCCTTCAGATACTGGAAGGCTGCTATGAGGTCTCCACGCAGCCTTCTCTTCTCCGGGCTGAACAGCCCCAACTTTCTCAGCCTGTCTTCATACGGGAGGTGCTCCAGGCCCCTGATCATCCTCATGGCCCTCCTCTGGACTTGTTCCAACAGATCCATGTCCTTTTTATGTTGAGGACACCAGAACTGCACACAATACTCCAAGTGAGGTCTCACAAGAGCAGAGTAGAGGGGCAGGATCACCTCCTTCAACCTGCTGGTCACACTCCTTTTGATGCAGCCCAGGATACGGTTGGTTTTCTGGGCTGCAAGCCCTTCACAGGTTCTTGCCAGCCCAGATGTGGTCAATCAGTAACCCAGACAGAGCCTCCCCTGCAGAAGTACTGCATAGATTGTGCTTCAGTGGGGGGACCTACACTCCATGCTGCCTGCCACCATGTCCCCAGAGGGGTTTTTATGATGGTAAGCACAGTGTCTATGTCACATGAGATCACTTATGGTAAAGCTAAGCTTTGCCATACTTGTTCATCATGCCTCTTGCCCAAGCACTGGCCTAGCTGTGCTGCTACAGCTGAATTTCTGGGCACCCTGTTGAAATTCAGCTTGTGGCTGAGCTCTGAATTGCTCTGTGCCTAGTCCTTCCCCTTTGCCTCAGCCAGTTTTAGTGGTCCTAACAGGAATGAAACATTCCTGGTGGAAACCCACACAAGGTAACCCATGATCCAGGAGAGGGCTTAATGTCACTGTGGTGCTGCCTGAAATTCTTTTAGAACTGAGGCCTGCAGAATATTAATATTTGGCCAAACATCAAGCTAAAACTAAGCTGAAAATATGCTGCATGTATATAGAAAACATTTCCTGAGTTTGATGGGAAGTGTTCATAAACTGTTAAGAATAGTAATTGTGAAATGATAGCTGTACAGGCTTGTTTGCAGCAAAGCAGGTAGGGGAAGTGTAATTTGGGCTGTGTGCAAGCCCTGACTACCTGTTTCAGCCCAGAGTTAGACTGCAACTCTTCATTTCATCTGGAGGCAATGTAGGCTTAGCTGAAGTCCTCCCAGTATCCTTCTGCAGCCAGAAAATAGGGTCATCCCACCTAAGAACTAGGGAGTCACCTGAATCTCTGGATGGTGTCTACAGCATGAAGGGCTGCTGGGCCTTTCATACAGCATCCTGGAGAAGGAGAAGGCATTGGAAGGTGCAAATCCAGACCATTACATTGCTTCTGTTTCTTTAAGTGAAAACTGTATTGTATCCACAGAGATAATAAAAATGCTTGCTTGTTAAACTGTGTACGCCACTGCAGAGGAGGGATTTCTCCTCTTACCCTCACCCTGGCCAAAACCAGTGGGTTTTTCAGCCTGATTTTATTGTGAAAAACTGAGAAACTAACTTGCACTGAAAGGAACTCCACTCATTTGATGCTATGGCATCAAAAACAAGACAATACAAACATCTGGATGACATTGCATCTCACAAACCATAATTTAAATCCTATTGGAAACAAATAAAGTCACTACAGCCTTTAAGCAGCCTATAAACCATTCACCACAAGAATTATCATGGAATAACCAAAGCACTCAAATATCCTTTTGGTGCAATCCCAAGTACAGCACTCTGCTGACAGTGCAGCCAACAGCAGTGATTTCAATGGAAGGAGCTGGGGATCTGAGCCAGAGCAGACTGGAGTCAATAAGTCTTTCCATATACTTTAGTGGGCTTAGAGCTCAGCTTTTAGTGACTCACCCACTCCGTGGTGCTCACCTAGGCAACCTTCCTTCCTAGGAGGCTGAACTTGGCACCAGAAGTGAGAGGATGCAATCACCAGTCTGAGTGTGCTCTGTGACTGCTGTCCCAGACTTCAAATGTAGAGGCACAAAAGGATAAATAAATAAATAAAAGCTGTGCCACCTCAATCCAGAATCCTTTTGCCTCACTGATGAAAATCAGATGATATAGATTATGCTATCTTCTCCAGTGTTCTTGCTACAGAGGAAGTCTTTGTTAAACTGCTTCTAATACATCATGTACATACCCATGTACCACCTCTCTTTTGCTGTACTAAGGGTGAGGCTTCTGTACTGGAAATCAATTTGAAGTGACACGGTTAATTCTTTATGACTTCAGATTTGTTTAATAGAAGCTGTTTTGGCTTACAGTGGGTGACTATCCAAGGAACCTAAATAAACTACTTCAGGCAGAAAATCATTAAACTGTGGAATATAGGTTTTTTTAAGCACATTTTGCTATATTCATAGGAAAGTGTGAAATTAAACATTTGTCTATGAAAATATCCTTCTAGGCACATAATGAGCCATGTGATTTCCTTGAGGACTTACCAGAATTAAAAAGAATAATTCCTTTAAGATAGGCATATTCTTTTGCACTTATGTCCAGGTCCCAGAATTTCCACAGTAAACTCCTTATCTTCTGTACTTCTGCAAAAGATGCTCCCAGTGGTGAGCTGTCCAGTTCATTGCTAGGTGTCAAAGACTGATCGAGGAGGATCTTTTTTAGTAAGCTAGGGGGTGAAATCTCTCTCAGGTCAAAATCCACCCTGTCTTGTGCCATGCCCAGGACAAAAAGAGGGGCCCAGTTCTGCTGTATGAGGACGAGCTGATCCTCCCAAGGCACATGATAAAAAGAAGGCAAGTTCCTAATGAAATTTAAAGTCTTCAGGAGCACTTCAGAGGCTCTTCTCCACGTGGCTTCTGGCATTTTTAGGACAACTCTTCTGTCTGCACAAGAGCAGCCCATACTTCCTGTGGAGTCGTGGGGGCTGCAATACAGCTGGCACTTGGTCTCACTTCCATGCTCTTTGTTAAGGATCTGATACAGGATGCTCTTTGCATGGTGTGTCTCACACTGACATTTCCCATATTTCTCAGGTGGGATCTCGGTAGCCATAGATCCAGAGCTCCCTGTGGAAGGAAGCAGCGCGTGTGGAGTTGTGCATCAACAAGCAGGGAAGAGCATTCCTGCCACGCAGAGAGCCATTGTGTGCTTTTTATGTACACAGGCGGGTGAAAAGTGGCATGACCCTGGTCTGTAAAGCAACCTTGAACTTTATTTGCACCTCACGAGGCGGGGCTGCGGGCAGCTGGAGTACCATGAGGCTGCGGTAGCGCCGCGGGGCACGGGCTGGCTGCATGGGCGCTGCTCACCGCCTGCCGCGCCCGGCCTGCTGCCGGTGGCTCCGTGCTGCTGCTGCCGCCGCCACCGGCACTTTTACAGCCATATAACACCTATAACTCCCCTTGCCCCTGAGGGGAAGCCCAGTGGAAACTGCAACCCCGTCAGAGAAGAAGGAGCAAGTTGTCGGTATTCGTATTGATCCACCTGCCTTGCCCACTGGCTAATGCTCTGGGATGCACAGAAATGTTCTTATACTTACAAAAGATGCTGTGCTGGCAGGACCTTGAGGAGACACTTTAATTTCCTGCTGAAAGAAGCTACCTGGAGACACTGGATGTCTAACACTGCTTTTCACAGACCACTTTAGTGTGTGTGTACTTTAAACTGTAGCTAACAGGATGTGGCTCCTGTGTCAAGCAGATCACAGTTGAAAGTCCCAGGGATGGAAATCCCATACATAGGAATTACTTAACATTGCTGGGAGATCTGAGAGAAATTTCAAAGAAAGTCAGCTGCTATAGTTCATGACAATGTTATCTCCTGCATTTCACATACGATAATTTCAAACACAGAACACATGGAATTCTCCCAGACTCACTGTGTAATGAAATATTCTTCATACAAGCTGTGGAAATAAAACTGATGAAGAAAGAAAGCAAAATGGCAGTTTGTACTGTTGTACGTAGGAACTTCTGTAGCAGAGCAAGAGCTACATTACTCTTCAGCCAACATCAGGGAGCATTAAATAGCAGGAATGGAAGGAAATGGACCAGAATAAGAAGAAATTGCTAGTTCAAGTGGTTTTTTACTTCACTCTCTCTTGCTTGCTCTTATACAGGGGAAAAGGTACTAGTTTTTTTTCACCAAGCATAATGTTTATACATCCCTACCATCTGGGCTCTTAGCATGTCTTAACAAAACCTGAGCATTAAAAACAGCAGCTCCAAGAGCCACTTCTGTTAGGTCTCAGGCCTCAGGTGGGTAAAGGCCATGCCACCAGATGCATAGCCACAAATTTGTCCTTTGCTACAGTTGGTTGGCTTTTTCCATGCTGGGCCATTTAAAAATTTCCATTTATTTGCCTCTCCATTATATTTATGTTGCAAAATTTTCCCTTTCTGAGGGGATAAAAATGGAGGAAGAGACGACTGCTTCAAAGTTGAGCAGTTTGAAAGTGTAGTGCTGCTGAGTCAGGGAGCCCAGAGCACTGAACACCTGATGGGATTCGCTTATCCACCTCTCCATCCATTCAACTGCTGTCTATTGCTAAGGTTCCAAGAGGTTTTTAGGTTAAATGACACAGCAACAGAGAAGTCCCCAGAAAGTCTCATTCTTCTTATTCTCACTGTAAAATTCCAGCTGGGCAGAGGGTCAATGCAATGAACTCCAGGTGCAGGGCTAATACGGTCCAAGGTTCTTCATGAGTTACATAGACTGGCTACTGGTTGAGCTTGCTGAAACCATTCTTACCCAGAGATTGCTTGTGAAAAGTAGTTCTGTCTCCTAATTGCAGGTGAGTCTGGTGGTGTTTCAGTAATCCTCTACTCCAAGGAAGAAAAATCTTTGACTTCAGCCGAAATCAGCACCATTTCACTGTTCACTATCATTTCACCCTCATGATTCATGTCGTCATTCATCGTTCCTATTAATTGTGCTTGTTAAAGCTCTACTCCAGGTTAAATTGGTTCCTTCCCTAGTTTTTTCTCTGAGATCTGCATCAGTCACATGCAGAGTCCTGATGTCAGTAACCGAAGGCATTGGTTACCATTTCTATTTGTCATCAGTGATTTCCTTTGATTGTCTATATTTCTAAGAAGGAAAAACAAATGATATTTTTCTAACAGGAATTCCTGGTATGTTATAATAGCTTTATGACTGTTTACCAGAAATAAAGAGTAAAGGTTACTGCCTCAGTACAATTGCTAAGAATACATCATCAGCTTTTTCTGGGAGAATGATTACTTAGAATCATGAGTCAATATGGAATTGCGGGTGAAGCTGACTCGGGTGGTCCTGATCCAAAATTGCCTGAGATGAGCTTTCTGTGTGACCTGATCTTCTCAAATGTAGAGGACCAACAGTTAAAATTCACCTCTATGCTTATATATTAGACAACAGTTATTTTTCTTTCTAAATCTTACAGAATGGTTGCCAGCACATGCACTTAGATATGAGGCATCTACAGTCTTCTTGCTACAGTAGTAACACTTCTTACTTTCAAATGTTAAGAAAGTATGCTGTACAAATACATGCTGTTTCGAGCATGGTGGCTTGAGAACAGTGAGACACAGCCACATCAGTGTTACTTCTTTCTGCTTTGCATTTATACACTTTTTCAGTAGGAAAGCACGCGCACCCTCACAAATACCTGCTGCCACCACATGCTCTCTGAAGCTACCAGAATTTCTCCCCAGGCACAAGTGCCACCATTTGCACAACAAGAAACTGTATCCTAAGTCCACACACAAATCTGCTATAGGCAGCTTATGGATATTCACACTATCGCTGGGAACTGTCCTGCTGCAAGCACAGCTGCCATCTCCATCTCTCCCTTGAGTAATGTCGTTCTGCACACATGTATGTTACTGTTACAAGTAATAGGTACAGATCTTTGCCTTTGCTGTTTAGGAGATTCACCCATAATGCAAACTTCTTCCTAAAATCCCAGGTTCACAAAAACTGCCTGCTAGCAATAGATGGTCCCATGCTTCTACCCTCTCCGACCAGTGTATAACGGCAGGGTCAGTGTATGGAAGTCAGCCAGAGCTAAGGGATATTTGTTACTTTAAATACCCAATGACTTGTGCGCTTTCTTAAATATCCTATTGGGTGCAAAAGCATAAGGCATGTAGTGGTTTTGGCTCTTAGCCCATATTTGCCAAATAGTTTACTTGGAAGGCTGAAGAGACTTGTCAGATAGTACAGGAGCTTAAGCGGCCATCTCATCCTTACCTTGGCAGTAGCCAAATGTGAGTCCTCCAGGAAAAGAGGTACATATATACTGCTCTTCTCATGCGTACTTTTCCTGTCTTCAATCATTTACAGCTTATGGAATTCCTGAACAAGAGTGATTTTGTCAGTTTATTTCTATCCTATAATCTCATATATACATGTATATAGATCTTGCTTCATTTTATAAATCTTGATAAGGGTCCCACAGTCATTCTTTGTCCAAACTAAAGAGCTGTAGGTTCCAAACCTTGTTGCCCTTCTTTGAACCTTTCTTAGACCTGCATCTTTTCTAAGATATTCTTTAAGGGGAGTGGGAAAAGTATCAGAACAGGACATAGTATCTAGGACTCAGGAGAGCATGGATTTATACAAGCACAGATGAAGTTATCTGTTTTGTCTTTCCCAGAAGTCACTCCTGCATACTGAGATGTTGTTGCCATGAAACATTCACACCCCCCAACTTTTACTCCTGAGTGACAGTCATCAGCTCAGAGGCTCTCATCTTAGTCAGAAGTGTAGTTAGGAGTGTTTTATCTTATGTGCATCTTTTGCCATATACATACACTGAGTTATTGTTTGACACCTAGTTGATGATTTTCACAAACCCCTTCTGCAATTCTTCTGACAGCCCTAGTCATCCTCTGCGTAAGATGCGTTTCTGGAGGAGATGAATCTGATGCTATTTCTTCATATGGGCTGCAAGAAGGAAACATCTTCCTAGGAAGCTGTCAGCAGCCTTTTTGAGGTCATCCTGTCACACCAGTCTGATACATGCACGTATTGCTTGATTCAGTGATCTCTTATCTCTCTGGTCTCCTGTAAAAAAAAAAAAACAGCCAACAAACCAAACATTTAATTGGTCTATAAACATCTACAGGATTTCAGAACATGACTTTCTCTGGGTGTTTTATACAGAGGGAGGCTCTGGGTGAATCTCATGTCACTGGTACTTTTGAGGACACCTGATTTGCTGACATCCTTAATGATGACAAAAGCAGCTAGTAATAAAACTGATGTCTTCCTAGAAGGGTTCCAGCTCCTACTTACCTTGTGCTGCATACCCTCTTTCTTGAGCAATAAAGCTGTTTGTTTCTCAACTAGAGGAACCAAGAGCTGCTGTTCAGACTACCTACTTTCACTAGGCAAACAGTGGGAAGTATAACCCCACAGTCAAAGCCCACTCAGTTTGGAAACAAGCTCTGAAACAGCATCTTTAGCTTATGATCCAACAGGTAATGCCATGGCAAACTACAATTTGGCCTTAAATCTGAAGCAAGGGTATGTAAATTATAAATACAGTTAATTTAAACATGCTTAGCTTATCTTGGAGGCCCATGGGTGAACTTCTCAAGTGACTGATGTAAAGCATGTACTTAAAATACTTTACTTGATGAGGGCTGGTAAAATCAACTTCTTTTTGATGATAGTCATTTGAACAGAAGTAGCAAATTAATAGAGGCAGCTGCCCCAGGAGGCCCTCCAGTGAAATGGTGTCTATCACTGAAACTAAGCCTGTTTTAAATCTGTCTTTGGTGACCAAGCTAGAGAAAAGGCACGCCTGCTTCTAAAGCAGCAATGGATTCCATGTATGCAAGTGAATAAAATAAAACATGGTTACTTGATTAAAGGTTAAGGTTTGTTTTGAAGGGGTGTGAATCTTGAGACATGAGTAAGTTTTAAGCTGCCCAACATCAATCTTTCGATTTCTTCATGTTAGAAAAATCGGTGAACCTTTATGAGGGCAAATTGGCAAATTTCTGTAAGGGCACACCTTGGGGGTTGGGATATAGAGATTGTAAAATAAACTAGAAATGACCTTGTACCAGATTGTGCCATTTTTCTACAGCTCCCCCCCCAAGGAGACAGTGTTTGTACAGTCACCCTTATCGGCACTGGGACAGGCACCATCTGTCAGTTTAAATGTAGATAGGTGCACCACTTATTGTTCTGCAAGTGGAAAATACTGGAAAGCAAGGTAGAAAATGGGTACAGTTTTGAAAAAGCAAAGTTGGGAAATGTTCCTTGTTGGCAGTTCCACCTCCAGAGTGGCACTGGAAAAGTGAGTCCTCCCTTCAGCCCCCTTCCCTGCTGAGAGCACTGGCGGAGATGTAAAATATTTCAATGTAGTATGGAGCCCACTATCATACTAAACTTAAGTCGGCCTTATATCACTGAAGGTAAATGCCTAATCTAGTGATTAGCACTCTATAAATGCCACAGATTAGCGAGTGAGGTTTAGATGGCAGATTTGATATGCAATGTATATCTTTAGTCTTGTCTTTAGACATTTTATTTATGATGGAATGAGCAAGGGTGTAACAAGTAACCTGTGGTCCAAAAGCCTAAGTCTCAGACATTTGCATTTTATTTGAAATATATGAGGGGTGACTAACTTCAACCAGAGGTATAGGACTAATACATTGAATCTTCCCTGTGACAAAATTTAACATGCCCAAACTTCCCTTACTGTTTGCCACAGGACAACTTCTCTATTGGTAACTCTTAAATTAAGTATCTATCTCTTCAGATTGGGGAGGGGGGAAAGAAGAAAGCAGTTCTATCTCAAAATTTTGACTTCCCTACAGCTCGGGCTACTTAAAAACTGATAAAAGATTCTACATAATTTGGGTTTGATTCTTCATAAACAGGTTAAAAACTGAAAGGGAGGGAAAGGATTAGAAGATAAATGTCAGCACACTTAATAAGAGCACATTTTTACAAGGTAAATGTTACTTGCAAATAGTCATATGAAAACATGAGTTGCCCATGGAGACAAAAGTGGACACAAGACACACGCACTTCCACACCATTCACTGGCAGTTTGAAAGACATTCAAACCTTCTTCTAGACCTACTTCTGTATGTAGTAAATGAATGTATTACTCGTTGAGTATTGAGATTTTGGCATTTCTGACATCAACTGCTGCTCACTCTGGCATTTATGTTATTCTTGTCTCTCTGAAAAACAGCTCTGAGGTTTTTAGATGCAAGTACATTTGCAAAAAAAAACAGATTTTTGAAAAGAAGCCTGGCTCCATTTGTCTCAAGAAGTCTGCACTTAATCACCTTTAAAAAATACTATTACTTTAAGGTCAGTGGAAACTCCATTAAAGTGTTTCAAGGAACCGTCAGATCATTAGAGGAATGGAAACTGAAGTGTATGCAATGTACTGATTTCAAACACGTTATAAAACAGTAGGAAAGAAATCAAGTGTCTTCTTTCTTCTTAGTGTAACATTCCCTTTTGGGACACACACAGTTCAGGAGTGATCCTATCATGCAATATGCCAGTGACTGCTCCCAGCTTGCAGTGGCTACCAAAAGGTATTCTTCCTTAAGAGGAAAATTGTCCCCTCTCAAACTGGCCTTTGAAATGGAGACATACCTTTTTCTCCTCTAGTTACACTTTGAAACACATGTATGAGAAGCATTGTCCTTGAGAGTGTGTCTGAGACCTAGAACTAGGTATCAAACCTATATATCCCTATATATCCCTGAAGGGAACACAGCTTAGAATCCAGCCATGTATTTGAAATCACCTTCAGAAAGGCAAGATTCATCTGAAAGCAACTGACAGTGGTGGAAAATCCAGATCAGTCAGTAGAGCTGCAGGGTTTGTATGAAAATGTAGAAGGAAAAAAAAAAGACCATGAGGAGCATGTGTCTGCAGGGCACTTATGTTAGTGCCCAACAACCCTTTCACACTCCCCAGTTCCTGTGACAAGATGGTAAGAGCTTCGCAGCAGTCCTTTAGGAGGGTACATTCAAACTTGAATGGACTGAAGCATTTATACCTTCAGAACTTGCTTCCCTTTGTAGCTCAGGTCCAACAGTGGCAGTCATGCCGGTCCAAACCTGTTCTCCTTTTCCTGTCTTCCTGCCCCATATACTTCATGCTCTAGGTCAAGCAGGAAAGTCTCTAGCACTTCCTTCCATCAAGCCAGTACTTGATACCATCGGTTGTGGAGATGTGAATCTCCTTTGGACAGGGGTGGAGGGTTGAGCTGAACAGATCCCAGCTGTTCCCATAACCGGCCAAGACCCATAACAAGCTCGCAGGTCATTGTAAAGTAGAGCTGAACTGGGAAATGGCCATACCCTAGGATACAAATGTTTCACGTGAAACCTCCTATTCTGTACCCACATCATGAACCCTGCTAATCTGGTACCCATGACCCCTGTTTTATACAATATCTTAAGTGTGAACAAATAACAGAGCTCATTACTTGATCTCATTAGAGAATAGAGTTGATGGCAACCACATATGTGGAGGTGACAGTATTTTGGAGGGTACCACAGCCCAGTTGCCAGCTCAGTGTTTGCAGAGGCTTCTGGGACAAAAGGTACTAAGTTGACTCAACAGGTCCCATCCTGTGATAGGAGGCCACCCCCTAGAGCTTTATGCTCCTGCTGTGTCCCACACACTTCTGCACCCACCAGACTCCTTGGCATGTCTTACCTGATTTGGAAAGCAGGAGAAAAGTCATCTGCAGAGAGAAGAAAATTACCTTGAACTTGTTCATCAGTGAAAAGAGAGAGCAGAGCAAAGCTGGACTGCTGAATGGGCAAAAACCTTGTATCTGGCTCAGCAGAAGGAGAGTCTCACCAGCTCAAGTAAGACCCTTACAGGACATTGCAGCAGGGCTCCGTCCAACTCTTCAGGTTATGTGGGACATGGAAATGATGACTGTGCCCAGCATGGGTATTTCAGCAATGACAGATAACACCTCTTACTGCAGTGTTTTCAAATGTGAGAAATTATGTTTTTGTCATGGCAGTAATGCTGATTTTTACTGCATGTTAACCTGACTAGGAAGGTCCTGTGTACCTTTACATGTGTCAGGACCTGTAGGAGGTGGCTGGAAGAGAAGATCCTGCTCCAGCTCCTCGGCCTACTCAGTCTCAATCCGCAGCATTGCTCTCAGGCAGCAGCAACATTTCCCATCGCAGGGCATCCACCAGTGATTTTATTTGCCATGCTCTTGTTTTGAGCATGGGAGCCAGAGTCTGCGACCCGTTCAGTTACAAAAAGACTGTTTGGAAGGACAGCATTCATGTTTGCTCTGTTTGCTGTCGTGCATGCTAGCATTACTTTGCTAATGAAACGTGAACTACGGCAATGAGCAGACTCGTTTTTCAGATCAAAGAGAATAATGGAAAATCCAGTAGGAAACAAATCTGCAGAATTTTTAGTTTCACACAGGTTTTCCTCTTCAGCAACTGTGTTGATGTTCAGTTTATTGCGACTTGAGTGTCACCTTCAAACCCCCAACATCTGGAGCAATAATGAAATCAAAACAAATGGGGAAAAAAGTAACTCTTTTTATTTTAAATGACAAAGCAAGATGTCTCTTCTAAGGTTAAAACAAATAATGTAGAATATATTAAAAGTGCCACATGGATTAGCTAAAAGTATTTATTTTTGTGAGAACTTCTCTACTATGTCCACATCAAGCTGTATGGTCTGAAGGAACAGCAAGCAGAGGTCTAGGTGTTTCATGAGCTAGCCTTCCACCCCTTCTGTATGAATTCATGTTTTAGTCTGCAGGAAAGATTAGCAGATTTTAATACAGCATCATGTCTAGACCCAAAACATCATTTTAGGTAGCAAGAGAAGAATAAACAATGAATAGAACATAGAAGATCCCACCCATTGTAATAACAGGAGAGAAAGAAGTCTCTGGAAAACCAAACTTTCTTCTGAAAAATCATCTGAAGACATTTTGGCAGAACAGTACATGCACAAATATTAACGTCATCAAAGTGAATGACTTCACCATTGCAGTATCACTGATGTGCTCCATTCCCAGTTTTATTACACCTCTG